CCCTTCACTGGGAATAGTATTAGAGACACCGGGGCTAGTTGTCACAAAGTGATTATTGATGTTATGGCATTTTATGCATAGACACAAGTTCTTGACTACAGTAATGATTATTTTGTTAGATGGACTCACAAAAATGTTTACAATTTTTTTATCAAATACATTTAAAGAATCTTTTATAGAATTGTATGTTTAAAATCTTGCATTTTTTGTCTACGTTGAATTATTATATTCATTATATTGTTGAATGTTTGATCTGTAATTGCACATATAATTGTCTGTGAAGCTAATATGACAGTAACCTTAAATACGACCAACATCTTGACTACAAAAAGGCATGCTCTAATGCTATATAGGGTAAGATGTCACAGTTAAACAACCTATTATAGGCTTTTAGCCACATTTAAACAATTATTAAACATAAAAATACCAAAACCATTACCAACAAAATTTCAAATTTTTAAAATGCATGCATTTCTAACATTTTAAAACACATGTGACAACTTGCCCCGGCCTTGGATTTAAGGAAAAAAAAACACCCCTGTCCTGAGAACACAGTCTAGTGTGCTTTTAACAAAAATATGACAATAGTGGAAATTTGATTTGATTAAAATTTGAAAACGTTTTGTATATTCTTGTAGACTTTTGACTCACAGCTGAAGCAAAACCTTTGGGACAACTAGCCCCGGTCTCTTTTATCTATTGTTTTATCATTTAACCTAGCAAACTTCTTTTTGCATTTTCCTTCCATCTGCATGAATATGAACATGCATGTACTGTATAATATACGCACTGAACGATATGATGAATGAACTATTGAATAAAAAGAGGGATTTGAACAGGTTAGGCAAGTGTTCCTGTTGAATCATCTAATGCAAATGAGTGACACAGGTGGGCAAGCCGCTTTAAAAGTGCCCCCCTCTCTGAAGCTTGTGGCATCACCCAAACACACCTCACAGGTGCACAACATCATTGTTTCAGAAGCTTAAATGTGATCAGCAGAGCAAAACATCATTAAATTCCTGCTGTTTCCGCTGATTACAGGTCATAAGCTTTTGTATTTGCCTGCTATCTGTGTTTTCTTTTGAAAATGATGATTATTCATTCAGGGTTGAGGCATAAAAACCAAGACTACAGACACCTGCACGATTTACCCGCCCCTCCAAATTCTGTGACTATTTTTATTGATAAATAATTGCTATTGCAGCTCATCATTATTGAATTTGCGCTCAGATATGGAAACCTTTCTAAGATGTATTATAGTAATTATCTCTGTCAGTCTGAAATGCTTTTACATCTGTGGCTTGAATGAACAGAATAATAAAAATCTTGCAGCAGTTCCGATTTCAATTAATTACTTCGCCAGAGTGATTACAAACTTTAGGTCGTGATTTTATAGCGGAAAGAAACTCAGATAACAGAGTGCAAAGAGGAAAAAGTTTTATTCACACGTAACCTTTTGCATGCTTTGTTATCTGGATTTTATTTTGGACTTGCAAGACAAAGATAGTCTTGAATGCGGTGAACCAAAAGCAAAAAAGGCATAATTGAAAAACCTGCTTCCAGTTTTTGCCATGACACTCTCGCCATCAGTTTGCATATTAATGCACTCTAAAAAATGCTGGGTTAAATACAACCCAGTGCTGG